CATGAGGACTCAAATATAGGCTTAAAAACACGACTATGACCACGCTGGAGTTATTCCTTTATTTATATTGAAAACACTTTATTAGTGATACTGTGAGCATTGTCTTGTCGAAAACTAACCAGCTAGCAAAAGAAAAAATACAGATTCTGATTCAAATCCTTTGTGTTTTCCATTCAGAGTTGACATTGATTGTATCCCTACAGTATATCTGTTTGTGTTAATCATATTCATTCCAAAAGTACACATTCTATTTCATGGCTAGAGTTCAAAGTAACACAAAGGAGTCACAATTCTACAGCAGAATGGAGACGCTTTGGCAAAGGGCTATACGGTTATCTACCAAAGCATCACTCGCATGCACAGTTAATCATTGTCTACACAGCCGGGGTTAAAAGATAGCTTTATACAAGACATCAAGAGCATAAAAAAGAAATCTGTCAAGTTAATAACATTGAATACCTCTGCTGAATAAAACGTCTATGTCAAAAGCTTTGTAAATGCATACAGTAAAGACGGACCAAAACATTATGACCTCTGCAGACCAGGACCGAGACAGGGGTGTCCAATATCCCCCACAACTTTTCCATGGTGTTTAATATGTTCATGCTTCAGTGGTCTGTATGTTATAAAAGCTGATTTATGGTAGTCTTCAGTGTGTGGCCTAGGACAGTGGTTCCCCTTCGCCAGTTGGTACGCCGGTCAAACTCATTACGATACCAAGGTCTCCATCGTTTCCTTTGTGGAATACAGACAGAATAATATACCTGGCATTGAATAGACACAGTTGGTTTGAATGTTTAACCTGAAAGTCCCTGCATTGCTATTCACCTGGTGTCCCCTTTGTCTGTTTCCTAAATACATGGATGGATTCAAAAGCCTGGACCTGGACTCCTCACCCTTGACTTGTTGATCAGTCCAAGATCCGCTATTGGGGTCACAAATCTGTGCTTCCCCTTGAGACAACTGTTGCTGTGATTTCGGCAATGCAACATTAGTTTTATATCTCATTCTTTCTATTTGATTACTTTGATATAATTGAATTTCTATCACAATATGACTGTATCTTTTACCAAATGATTGTTTAATTGGAAGATGAATACATGCTCCCTTTGACTGAATCAAAACTGGATCATTGATAAAGACTGAAATACCAAGTTAAATTAAATTCTGCTCTGGGTTCAATGTTTAGAATACAATATAACTTGAAAATGTATGTGTAACATGCTAAAATAGCCCATATTTGTCTATAGCTATAGTTTGCCAGTAATATAATTTCAAGTACCCCGTAATACCATCATGTACCACTAGGGGTCCACGTACCCCCAGTTGGCAAACACTGCCCACGGCCATAGATCAGAAAGCACACTGAACAATTAAGAACCTGCCATACGTGATGTAGTAGCATGTTTATGACGAGGACAGCCATTTTAACAGGGTCGGCACTAGATCATAAACGGAATCGGGACAAAACCGGAGGTAACAATCCTACTTTCAAATTAGTTTTAGACTAATAAGTCCTTAAATGGTGACTGGTAAGTTTTAGGCGTCTGAGTAAGATGGTTAAGGTTAGGGTTAAGGTGGTCTGAGTAAGATGGTTAAGGTTAGGGTTAAGGTGGTCTGAGTAAGATGGTTAAAGGCACACCGTGTAACTCTTGGCCACTAGGGGCGCTAGACCTGCAACTTTCACGTTTAGCGCCCCTAGTGGCCACAAGCAACTCAGCACTGTCGCAAAAGTCAAACAGTCAGCCGGTGTCTTTTGAGTGTGTATTCAGACAGCATGCACTGGTGTGTGTGTTCAAACTGTAGAGACATGCCTACAGATATTGAGAGACTCTGCTGTGGTCAGCCTCCAGACCGCTGCATTAGTAATCTACCACACATGGACTTCTATATCCTGGATGAGGGAGTTCTGCGTCTAGCTCGTGCTGCGTGGAATGACATCGTTGCGGTCGATGACATCCAGGAACCAGGTGAACAGCAGCGCTCATACAGACATGCAGCTTACAGCACGATCCCTTTCGCGTTTCCTCTTTTTAGCCTCCTCCAAAGGTTTAAAATTTTTCCTTGCCTCAGCCATGACCAGGAGTCGAGCAGGTGAAAAATGAGTAGCAAAAGCCTTAGCTCCATGAGTATATCAGCGCCTGTAGCCGTAAAGCAAGTCTTTCTTCCAAGTCACGTGACCTGGTGGCAGACGGTCCGTCTGCTCGAAAGTTACATGGGCGGTATTTCAAGAGGGCAGCCCCGCTCGGAGCATTGCAAGTGTCAAGCGCTGTATATTGGCCCAAGTATTCATATAAAATAACTCATATGTGTCAACTCTTTAGGTCACAAAGTCCGCGGTGTGCCTTTAAAGAGCGACTAAACACCAAATCAACTTTTTTTAACTCATAAACTGCATAAATATGTTTATTGTAGTGCTGTCTACATATCCTGGTCATTTTCTTGACATTTTAGTTCAAATTAGATAAAATATCACTTTTGAGCCAAAAAACGCTGTGTGGTGCCCTCTCAACCTTTCTGGTGGTACTACATTTGAATTTGGTTCTGGCCTCTCCATTGACTCTGAAGTTCTCTATGACATCAGTTGTTTTGTGTGACGTCAGTCTGTCAGAGCCAGTGATATAAACCCATTCAACTCTCACACACGCCCCAGCTGCAGTTTGGAGTATTCTGGCGCCATCTAGTGGATTAAAATTAAATTACATGAGTCATTCTGAGATTATTGAGTGTGATTAGGTTCAGGTGTGTAGCTTTACAATTATCTTAGTGTGTAAACAAGGGTGGAATGAGACTTTCTGGTCTGTAAACTATTGCTTTAAGCAGCAATGACAACTGTCTGGTTTTTTTGTGTGTGACACGTGAGCTGTCAATCACAGCCCAGACCACGCCCAGCTCTAAGCCCCCCTTCTTGTCCCTTGGTCCTCCAGGCAACGCCCTTTTTAGTGGGCGGAGTCAGGCTGGGCACAGGTGTTTAGTTGCTCTTTAAGGTTAGGGTTAACGTGGTCTGAGTAAGATGGTTAAGGTTAGGGTTAAGGTGGTCTGAGTAAGATGGTTAAGGTGAGGGTTAAGGTGGTCTGAGTAAGATGGTTAAGGTTAGGGTTAAGGTGGTCCGAGTAAGATGGTTAAGGTTAGGGTTAAGGTGGTCTGAGTAAGATGGTTAAGGTTAGGGTTAAGGTGGTCTGAGTAAGATGGTTAAGGTTAGGGTTAAGGTGGTCTGAGTAAGATGGTTAAGGTTAGGGTTAAGGTGGTCTGAGTAAGATGGTTAAGGTTAGGGTTAAGGTGGTCTGAGTAAGATGGTTAAGGTTAGGGTTAAGGTGGTCCGAGTAAGATGGTTAAGGTTAGGGTTAAGGTGGTCTGAGTAAGATGGTTAAGGTCAGGGTTAAGGTGGTCTGAGTAAGATGGTTAAGGTGGTCCGAGTAAGATGGTTAAGGTTAGGGTTAAGGTGGTCCGAGTAAGATGGTTAAGGTCAGGGTTAAGGTGGTCTGAGTAAGATGGTTAAGGTTAGGGTTAAGGTGGTCTGAGTAAGATGGTTAAGGTTAGGGTTAAGGTGGTCAGAGTAAGATGGTTAAGGTTAGGGTTAAGGTGGTCCGAGTAAGATGGTTAAGGTCAGGGTTAAGGTGGTCTGAGTAAGATGGTTAAGGTTAGGGTTAAGGTGGTCTGAGTAAGATGGTTAAGGTTAGGGTTAAGGTGGTCAGAGTAAGATGGTTAAGGTTAGGGTTAAGGTGGTCTGAGTAAGATGGTTAAGGTTAGGGTTAAGGTGGTCTGAGTAAGATGGTTAAGGTTAGGGTTAAGGTGGTCTGAGTAAGATGGTTAAGGTCAGGGTTAAGGTGGTCTGAGTAAGATGGTTAAGGTTAGGGTTAAGGTGGTCTGAGTAAGATGGTTAAGGTTAGGGTTAAGGTGGTCTGAGTAAGATGGTTAAGGTCAGGGTTAAGGTGGTCAGAGTAAGATGGTTAAGGTTAGGGTTAAGGTGGTCTGAGTAAGATGGTTAAGGTCAGGGTTAAGGTGGTCTGAGTAAGATGGTTAAGGTTAGGGTTAAGGTGGTCTGAGTAAGATGGTTAAGGTTAGGGTTAAGGTGGTCTGAGTAAGATGGTTAAGGTTAGGGTTAAGGTGGTCTGAGTAAGATGGTTAAGGTTAGGGTTAAGGGTGGGTTGGGGTTACTTTATGGGAATGGCTGGTAAAGTTTAGGCATTAATAGGTAGTTCCGCTTCCGTCCCGATTCCGCATATGATCTAGTGCTGACCGTTTTAACAGTAGTTGCAATCCCACCCTCTCCACATGAATGCATTTCTCCGATGTTGCTAAACCAAACTGTACATGGCACTTTGATAACACTGACATCTCAATAAATACAATAGAAAATAAATAAGCGTTTTCATAGACAGCACTTTGATAGGTTGAAGGCTTACAGATATTTGTGCTATATCCAGAAACATAGAAAACCCAGATGCAGCCAAGGATAAGGACATTCCAGTGTACTGTTGGCGCCATTACGGGCAAGACCGAAATAAATGGTGCATCAGGAGGGCATACAGTGCAAAGCCAAATCAATATGCAAATGTATTAGTACGTCATTCTTAACTGCGGCTACTGATGATTCGTTTTAAGAGACTTGATATTAGAAGATGTTTTAAAAGTGCTCCCAAAACGGATTACAGAAACAGACTATAAAGCACCATAGAGTCCTCTCAAAGGTATTTCATTCACTTTGCATGTAATTTATCTTTTCTACCGCCCACCTGCTGCTTTTCCTTTGGCTTATAATTAATTGTGGGGTAGTTAATTTGTCAGACATTGTTTATACAGCATATGAATTATACTCATAAGTGGATTCTATTTTTGTCTGTCTCTGGAGTTTGAGAGATAATAATGCAGAGATATTTATAAGTGAAACTAACCATGAGTCGACAAGAAAAGAAGTAAATTTGTAATGGATATTAATGTGGCATCAAAAAGATCAATAGACGTTTGATCGATCATGATTGGACACATAATAATGTTATTTAAACACACGTTTTGTTGAGATCCACTTTGACCGGCAGAGGGCCGGCCTCCTGGGTCTCCTCGGATTGTTTCATAGTGACTGCAATCACTGGGCTCAGGTGAAACGTGCTGACCTTCTGGCTGTTGTCCAGAAACTCCTTATCTCCATTGATGCTCAGCTGCAGCGACAGACGAAACAACAAGACATGAGAGTAGGGATTTATGAAAACCACTTAAACACATGGTCAGTGGTATCATGAGTGAGAGCATGTTCCAAGTCTGACCTGGGTCTTGACGTGCTGCTCTGGAGCAGTGACCAGGCTGGCACAGCTCAGCCACAGCATCACCATGATGGACAGGAAGAGACACGCGGCTAGGATCCAGCGAGGGAGGCCCGAGCGCCTGTAAAACACCATCAGACCGTTTGTCATTGGTCACTTTTAAAGCCGGATGTTGAAATAAGTTGCTAAACATTCTACACATTTATTGTAGTCTAATTCATGAGTTAAAATGATAAATAGTTTGCTTTTTTTCTCCTCTGTGAGTGTGTCATCATTTTGCTGGCTCTTATTAACGATCATTTCCATAGTTATGGAGGGGTACAACCACGGCTTCTCTTTTAGCCAAACACATGGGCTGTTGCTCGCCACAGAAGACTCCGCTCTCAGGTGGATTCATATCATACTGTGGAACCAATTCATCTGGCATTCAAGCATGCATGGACTATAAATGATTGTTTTATCCTCCCTATGGATGTGATCAAGTCACAAATATATGTACGCATATATGTAGTAGTAATTTAGCAGTGTTTTGAGGTGAGAAATGTTCAGTTACTTCTCTTGTATAGTTTCATATCAGTTATAGACACATAATGGAACAGAAAGAACTACCTCTATTTGTGTTGCATTGTTCTGCATATTTGAGGAATAGAACATGTTTTCAATCATATAGTATTGCTTGCTTTACTTTACGTTTACTTTAAACCCAGTCCTCAGTATTAGCCCAATATCAATCCTTTTTCTTTCTACTGCGTTACATGTTATTGCAGTTATATCGTTTCTCTCCAGAGTGTCCTCCAAGCTCCAACAACTTCCTCTCTCTTTATCCAAGGTCAGGTCAACACATTCCGAAAAGACAATGACTACACTTTCATGACTCTCGTGGTGTTTTAAGATATTCGATAAATGTTAAATTGTCTATTTCGTACCTGGACATGCAGCCGAGGAAGTCATGTTCGGCCGCCGGGTCCTCTGAGTGCTGCGCTGGATGCTTCACTTTTCCTCCTACTTTAGCCGCGCCCTTGTCATGTCCTTTCAGACCTGTCCCAAAACATTACACATTTGTCTTTTGCTCACAAATCCCTCATTTTAGTACATACAGAGGGAGCAAGAAAATGTATATACACCATGTCAAAAATACATATAATTATGTTGTTCACTTTGCCACAATATTGAGATGGATCATTTTTCATTTATTATTTTTATAACTTGTAGTCTGAAAGTCTGAAATTTTACACACAAAAGCCCAAATAGTTAATCCTTGGGAGTTTCTTGGGAGCTGTTAGCGGAACTTAGAGAAGCTATACCCAATTATTTTTCTATTGAGTTAATAAAAATCCGTATATCTATATACAAATTGTATTAAAAACTGTAATTTATTTGAAAACTGGAGCTCATTATTCAGCATAAGCATGAGTTTAGGCCATTCAAAGTGCTGAGATGACTTTTAGCGTGACGCCCGCTCTCCTCCAATCACAGAGCGAGGCTGCGTCCTCTAGCCTCTACAGCGCTGCTAAACACAGTAGCATGTTAGCATAAGTGGCTATAACTCCTCTGGCTGTAACTGCAGACACAGCAAAACAGCCCAAACCACACAACAGTGAAGAAGAGAAGAGGAACTAAAGCCACAACATGATCAAAGAAGAAACCAAGCCCTGAACAGAGCTAGCTTACATCGTATCCTCTGGAGAGACTGGTCTATGGGAAAGACCTGCGGGACCGCCTCGGACTATCTACACTCGGACTATCTGCGCTCGGACTATCTACGCTCGGACTATCTACGCTCGGACTATCTACGCTCGGACTATCTACGCTCGGACTATCTATGCCCGGACTATCTATGCCCGGACTATCTATGCTCGGACTATCTATGCTCGGACTATCTATGCCTGGACTATCTACGCTCGGACTATCTATGCCTGGACTATCTATGCTCGGACTATCTATGCTCGGACTATCTATGCCTGGACTATCTACGCTCGGACTATCTATGCCTGGACTATCTACGCTCGGACTATCTATGCCTGGACTATCTATGCTCGGACTGTCTACGCTCAGACTATCTACGCTCGGACTATCTACGCTCGGACTATCTATGCCTGGACTATCTACGCTCTGTATATCTACGCTCGAACTATCTACGCTCGGACTATCTACGCCTGGACTATCTATGCCTGGACTATCTATGCTCGGACTATCTATGCTCGGACTGTCTACGCTCAGACTATCTACGCTCGAACTATCTACGCTCGGACTATCTACGCTCGGACAATCTACGCTCGGACTATCTACGCTCGAACGATCTACGCTCGGACTATCTATGCCTGGACTATCTACGCTTGGACTATCTACGCTTGGACTATCTACGCTCGGACTATCTACGCTCGGACTATCTACGCTCGGACTATCTACGCTCTGACTATCTACGCTCGGACTATCTACGCTCGGACTATCTACGCTCGGACTATCTACGCTCGGACTATCTACGCTCGGACTATCTATGCCTGGACAATCTATGCCCGGACTATCTATGCTCGGACTATCTATGCCTGGACTATCTATGCCCGGACTATCTATGCCTGGACTATCTATGCTCGGACTATCTATGCTCGGACTATCTATGCTCGGACTATCTATGTCTGGACTGTCTACGCTCGGACTGTCCACGCTCGGATTATCTACGCTCGGACTATCTACGCTCGAACGATCTACGCTCGGACTATCTATGCCTGGACTATCTACGCTCGGACTATCTACGTTCGGACTATCTACGCTTGGACTATCTACGCTCGGACTATCTAAGCTCGGACTATCTACGCTCTGACTATCTACGCTCGGACTATCTATGCTCGGACTATCTACGCTCGGACTATCTATGCCTGGACAATCTATGCTCGGACTATCTATGCTCGGACTATCTATGCTCGGACTATCTACGCTCGGACTATCTACGTTCGGACTATCTACGCTTGGACTATCTACGCTCGGACTATCTAAGCTCGGACTATCTACGCTCTGACTATCTACGCTCGGACTATCTACGCTCGGACTATCTATGCTCGGACTATCTACGCTCGGACTATCTATGCCTGGACTATCTATGCCCGGACTATCTATGCTCGGACTATCTATGCTCGGACTATCTATGCCTGGACTATCTACGCTCGGACTATCTATGCCTGGACTATCTATGCTCGGACTATCTATGCCTGGACTATCTATGCTCGGACTATCTATGCCCGGACTATCTATGCCTGGACTATCTACGCTCGGACTATCTATGCCTGGACTATCTATGCTCGGACTGTCTACGCTCAGACTATCTACACTCGGACTATCTACGCTCGGACTATCTATACCTGCACTATCTACGCTCTGACTATCTACGCTCTGACTATCTACGCTCAGACTATCTACACTCAAACTATCTACGCCTGGACTATCTATGCCTGGACTATCTATGCCTGGACTATCTATGCTCGGACTATCTATGCTCGGACTGTCTACGCTCAGACTATCTACGCTCAAACTATCTACGCTCGGACTATCTATACCTGGACTATCTACGCTCGGACTATCTACGCTCGGACTATCTATGCTCGAACGATCTACGCTCGGACTATCTATGCCTGGACTATCTACGCTCGGACTATCTACGTTCGGACTATCTACGCTTGGACTATCTACGCTCGGACTATCTACGCTCGGACTATCTACGCTCTGACTATCTACGCTCGGACTATCTATGCTCGGACTATCTACGCTCGGACTATCTATGCCTGGACAATCTATGCCCGGACTATCTATGCTCGGACTATCTATGCCTGGACTATCTATGCCCGGACTATCTGTGCCCGGACTATCTACGCTCGGACTATCTACGCTCGGACTATCTACGCTCTGACTATCTACGCTCGGACTATCTATGCTCGGACTATCTACGCTCGGACTATCTATGCTCGGACTATCTATGCTCGGACTATCTATGCTCGGACTATCTATGTCTGGACTATCTATGCTCGGACTGTCTACGCTCGGACTATCTACGCTCGGACTATCTACGCTCGGACTATCTACGCTCGGACTATCTACGCTCGGACTATCTATGCCTGGACTATCTACGCGCGGACTATCTACGCTCGGACTATCTACGCTCGGACTATCTACGCTCGAACGATCTACGCTCGGACTATCTACGCTCGGACTATCTACGTTCGGACTATCTACGCGCGGACTATCTACGCTCTGACTATCTACGCTCTGACTATCTACGCTCGGACAATCTACGCTCGGACTGTCTATGCCTGGACAATGTATGCCCGGACTATCTATGCTCGGACTATCTATGCCTGGACTATCTATGCCCGGACTATCTATGCCTGGACTATCTATGCTCGGACTATCTATGCTCGGACTATCTATGCTCGGACTATCTATGTCTGGACTATCTACGCTCGGACTGTCTATGCTCGGACTATCTACGCTCGGACTATCTACGCTCGGACTATCTACGCTCGGACTATCTACGCTCGGACTATCTACGCTCGGACTATCTATGCTCGGACTATCTACGCTCGGACTATCTACGCTCGGACTATCTACACTCTGACTATCTACGCTCGGACTATCTATGCCTGGACTATCTATGCCCGGACTATCTATGCTCGGACTATCTATGCCTCTGAGAAGCCTCTGAGCGAGTTGGGGGCGGGGCTAAACATTCAAACCTTGCAGAAACGGGTATAGCTCCTTTAATTAGAGGATGTAGAAGACACGGTTTTATTCAATACTGCCTTGATGAAGAAAGTCTGGTTCACCTTTTGCATGATTTCAAAATGCTTATAGGTGTTATGTTCAATAGTAAAAACATAACAACTAATTTAACTCAAACATAATGTATGTCGAGCCATCATTGTTCTGAGAAGGGAGACGGTATAGTGTCTCAGAGATGGGCATGTTTTTGTCTCAAGAGTGCGAAACAACCCAGAATAAAAGACCTTGTGATGATGTTGGTTGAATGTGGGCTTATCTACAGGACAAACTGTGGCTGAACGATGCCACGACTCCAAATAAAACATTATATGTCAGATGGGAATATCCCAAAAGATGAGAGCGAGGAACAAACCTGAATCTGTAACACCTGTGCAGGAGGACTGGGCCAGAAGTCCAGCCAACTATTGTGAAAAACTTGGTTAAAAGTTGGGTCAAATTCTTCCACAAGTTTTCACAATAGTTGGCTGGACTTCTGGCCCATTCCTCCTGCACAGGTGTTACAGATTCAGGTTTGTTCCTCACTCTCATTAAAAGTTGGGTCAAATTCTTCCAGTTTATACAAATGTTGTAGTTTAAGTGAACCTGGTATTTTGGTATTTTTACAGAGTTTCAAAGGAGCTGTTTCCTCTGAGTTCCTCCTCTCACCGTGAGGCCTCGGGGTGTGAGAGTGGACCTGTGGCCAGGGTTTGTCGGCCACGTTGGAACGAGGCGCCTGCAGCTCAGGGACACTGTACTCCATCTCAGGCTGACTCTGAAAACACACAATATACAGTTTAGACCAGGGCTATAACACTTAATAATAATAATAATGTAATGGCACGTCAGCACTTTGAATATTTAACACATCAAACACAATATTTAATTCAGTAACAATATTTTTATTTTATTTTTTGAGAACAAATCTTGCCACCAACCACATATAAACCAGGACTTGCACTAGAAAAACAGACCCGCTGTACATCTTTGTATTAATGTGGTAGGGATGGATACTTATGTATTTCCACCTTAAATATCATACAGAATACACAAACACACACACACACGCACGCACACACGCACACACACACACATACATACATACACACACACAAACACACATACACATACATACACAGACACACACATTCACACACACACACACATACATACATACATACACAGACACACACACACACACACACACACACTCAATAACACCTACACACGTTTGCGTGACAAATGAGGACTTATGTCTGCACTCTGACATATCAGGACGTGCCTTTCTGAAGGTCCCAGAGACCTGAGGATCACATAGGGGGGAGCAGGGTGTGTTCAGTAACACAGCTAGCTGTTGATATTTTGGTTACAAGAAACTTTTTCCCCGCATGATTTTATTGCCACATATGAGGACTTTGACAGGTCTGAGTGACAAATGAGGTCCTACAACAAACACATCAGGTCTGAGTGACAAATAAGGTCCTACAACAAACACATCAGGTCTGAGTGACAAATAAGGACCTACAACAAACACATCAGGTCTGAGTGACAAATAAGGACCTACAACAAACACATCAGGTCTGAGTGACAAATAAGGACCTACAACACACACATCAGGTCTGAGTGAGATATAAGGACCTACAACAAACACATCAGGTCTGAGTGACAAATAAGGACCTACAACAAACACATCTGGTCTGAGTGACAAATAAGGACCTACAACAAACACATCTGGTCTGAGTGACAAATAAGGACCTACAACAAACACATCTGGTCTGAGTGACAAATAAGGACCTACAACAAACACATCTGGTCTGAGTGACAAATAAGGACCTACTACAAACACATCAGGTCTACGTGACAAATAAGGACCTACAACAAACACATCAGGTCTGAGTGAGATATAAGGACCTACAACAAACACATCAGGTCTGAGTGAGATATAAGGACCTACAACACACACATCAGGTCTGAGTGAGATATAAGGACCTACAACACACACATCAAGTCTGAGTGAGATATAAGGACCTACAACACACACATCAGGTCTGAGTGAGATATAAGGACCTACAACACACATATCAGGTCTGAGTGACAAATAAGGACCTACAACACACACATCAGGTCTGACCACAACCTATACGCTCCGCCTCCTCCTCCACACACTCTGACCACAACCTATACGCTCCTCCTCCTCCTCCACACACTCTGACCCCAGCCTAAACGCTCCTCCTCCTCCTCCACACACTGACAACATACGCTCCTCCTCCTCCTCTCCACACACTCTGACCACAACAAGGGGTTTTATGCCCAAAATCCACTGCACTCACAGTGGACGCTAAAGCTGAGCATACAGTGTTTGCTAATGCTTTTATAATATGTTTCTGATGTGGATATTCGGACTGAACATTGACAATAACAGCGCTCACACACCTGTCTCGCTGCTCCTCCTCTTCCTCCTCTGCACACACACCTCTGTCTCCTCCTCCTCACACAGAAGATGCAAGTATCCATCTCTCCGTACACTGGGCTCATTCCCGTTACTTTCTTCGTTCCTCACTCAGACCCAGACACTGCTAAAGTTATCTGACAGCTCCGTTAAGTTTGTTTCGGAGGACCCGCAGCGTACATAGCTGCCCTCGCGCCTGCCTGTTTACAAATTGCTTTTGGTGAAAATTTGACTTTACTTGTATAATAATGTACTTTTGATCAAAAGAAATCACAGAGGTCCAGAAAAAAGGGGTTTAGGGGTCCAAACTTGGAGCGCAGTCCGCCCTTTGGGGACCCTTGAACTATCCATCCATCCATCCATCCATCCATTTTCTTCCGCTTTATCCGTTGCCGGGTTGCGGGGGCAGCAGTCTAAGCAGAGACGCCCAGACTTCCCTATCCACACACACCTCCTCCAGCTCGTCCGGGGGGACCCCTAGGCGTTCCCAGGCCAGCTGAGAGACATAGTCTCTCCAGCGTGTCCTGGGTTTTCCCCGGGGCCTCCTCCCGGTGGGACGTGCCCGGAACACCTCCCCAGGAAGGCGTCCAGGAGGCATCCTGAACAGATGCCCGAGCCACCTCAACTGGTTCCTCTCGACGTGGAGAAGCAGCGGCTCTACTCCGAGCTCCTCCCGTGTGACCGAGCTCCTCACCCTATCTCTAAGGGAGCGCCCAGCCACTCTGCGGAGGAAGCTCATTTCGACCGCTTGTATCCGCGATCTCGTTCTTTCGGTCTTTTCCCCCACCTCATGACCATAGGTGAGGGAGGGAACGAAGATTGACCGGTAAATCGAGAGCTTTGCCTTTCGGCTCAGCTCCCTCTTTACCACAACGGTCCGATACAGAGACCGCATCACTGCGCACGCTGCACCGATCCGCCTGTCAATCTCACGCTCCATCCTTCCCTCACTCGTGAACAAGACCCCGAGATACTTGAACTCCTCCACTTGAGGAAGGACCTCTCCACCCACCTGAAGAGGGCAAGGCACCTTTTTCCGGTCGAGCACCATGGCCTCGGATTTGGAGGTGCCGATTCTCATCCCAGCCGCTTCACACTCGGCTGCAAACCGTCCCAGTGCATGTTGCAGGTCCTGGTTCGTTGGAGCCAGCAGGACGACATCATCCGCAAAAAGTAGAGATGAAATCCTGTGGTTCCCGAACCGGACCCCCTCCGGCCCCTGGCTGCGCCTAGAGATTCTGTCCATAAATACAGTGAACAGAACCGGTGACAAAGGGCAGCCTTGGCGGAGGCCAACATGCACCGGGAACAGGTCTGACTTACTGCCGGCAATGCGAACACAGCTCTGGCTCCGGTCATACAGGGACCAAACAGCCCTCAGCAGAGGACCCCGGACCCCGTACTCCCGGAGGACCCCCCAAAGGACACCCCGGGGAACACGGTCGAACGCCTTCTCCAAATCCACAAAGCACATGTGGACAGGTTGGGCGAACTCCCATGAACCCTCGAGTATCCGATGGAGAGTATAGAGCTGGTCCAGTGTTCCGCGACCGGGACGAAAACCACACTGCTCCTCCTGAATCCGAGATTCGACCATCGGACGTAGCCTCCTCTCCAGTACCTTGGAGTAGACCTTACCGGGGAGGCTGAGGAGTGTGATCCCACGATAATTGGAACACACCCTCCGGTCCCCCTTCTTGTAGAGAGGGACCACCACCCCGGTCTGCCACTCCATTGGCACCGCCCCCGATCGCCACGCGATGTTGCAGAGACGTGTCAGCCAAGACAGTCCTACAACATCCAGAGACTTTAGATAGTCAGGACGGATCTCATCCACTCCCGGCGCCTTGCCACCATGGAGGCTGCCAACCACCTTGGTGACCTCGGCCAGGGAGATGGAAGTATCCGCCCCAACATCTTCAGCCTCTGCCTCCTGGACGGAGGACGTGACGGGGGGATTGAGGAGAACCTCGAAGTATTCCTTCCACCGCCCGACAATATCCCCAGTCGAGGTCAGCAGCCCTCCACCCGCACCATACACGGTGTTGGCAAAGAACTGCTTCCCCCTCCTGAGGCGCCGGACGGTTTGCCAGAACCTCTTCGAGGCCGACCGATAGTCATGCTCCATGGACTCTCCGAACTCCTCCCAGTCCCGGGTTTTTGCCTCTGCAACAACCCGGGCCGCGGCACATTTGGCCTGCCGGTACTGGACAGCTGCCTCAGGAGTCCCACGAACCATCATTGCTCGATAGGACTCCTTCTTCAGCCTGACGGCATCCCTTACTGCCGGTGTCCACCACCGGGTTCGGGGATTGCCGCCGGGACCAGCACCAGAGACCTTGCAACCACAGCTACGAGCCGCCGCATTGGCGATAGAGGAAGAGAACATGGTTCACTCGGACTCAATGTCCCCCTCCTCTGCCGGGACCTGGGAGAAGCTCTCCCGGAGGTGTGAGTTGAAAGTCCGTCTGACAGGGGGCTCACCAAGACGTTCCCAGCAAACCCTCACTACACGCTTGGGCCTGCCAGGTCTGACCGGCCTCCTGCCCTGCCAGCGGATCCAACTCACGACCAGGTGATGATCGGTTGACAGCTCCGGCCCTCTCTTCACCCGAGTGTCCGAGACACGCGGTCGAAGGTCAGATGATACGACTACAAAGTCGATCATCGACCTCCGGCCTAGGGTGTCCTGGTGCCACGTGCACTGATGGACACCCTTGTGCTCGAACATGGTGTTCGTGATGGACAGGCCGTGACTGGCACAGAAGTCCAACAACTGAACACCGCTCGGGTTCAGATCAGGGGGGCCGCTCTTCCCGATCACCCCTCTCCAAGTGTCACTGGCATTTCCCACATGGGCGTTGAAGTCCCCCAGGAGAATAACGGAGTCCCCGGGCGGTGCACTGTCCAGTACCCCTCCCAAGGACTCCAAGAAGGCCGGGTACTCTGCACTACCGTTAGGCCCGTAGGCCGTCACAACAGTGAGAGACTTGTCCCCCACCCGGAGGCGGAGGGACGCGACCCTCTCATTCACCGGGGAGAACTCCAACACGTGGCGGCTGAGATGGGGGGCAATGAGTATGGCCACCCCAGCTCGCCGCCTCTCCCCGCGAGAAACACCAGAAAAGTGGAGCGTCCAACCCCTCTCAAGGAGTTGGGTTCCAGAGCCCAAGCTGTGTGTGGAGGTGAGGCCGACTATCTCTAGTCGGTATCGCTCAACCTCCCCCACAAGCTCGGGCTCCTTCCCCCTTCCCCCCCAGTGAGGTGAACTAGTGTATTATAAAAAATAAAAAGGAAGGAAGATTGCGAGGCCCTGTGCGACGGCA